GGTTCAACACCGTTAAAAAATGACAATGCTTTACATCACACAGGTGCAGTGGCCCAGCCTATGAACTGCAGCACATAGCGGACTGTTGGCTACCACATTTCATCATCAGATCAGTCCAATCCCATTAAGCAGGCCCCTGTAGCAACTGACAGATACACAATTGCATAATGGAATAGTTCTCCACAATCAAGAGGAAAACTGGAATGACTGTTTCCCAACAGTACCCAAACAAAGAAGGATTCTGACTGTTGAGGATGGTGGTACAGAAAAGAAAACAAAAACCTCCCACCCACAAACCAGGAAAGAACCCACATGCTCAGGGTCTTGATACATACTAGCTTTAGAAGGATTCGACATACTGTTTTAAGCGTGGAATCCATGACATCCTGTTTTCCTTGAACCTGATGAACAATTGCTAACACCTTGCCGATCTCTGGATTATACTTACCAATTTCTATACAAGGTAAAGGTCCCTAAAACAACCAAAATAGAACACTGAATAAAAGCAGTGAGAAAGAGACAAAACGACTGCTTAAGAAGTTCTTTTATTTAGCATCTCCCTCACATTCTCAAAAGCTTCATGAAAAGGAAAGAAGCACATATATGTGACCAGTACCCCCTGCTCCTGACCCCTGGTAATGTGGTCAGCATAACTAATGGCAAGCATGGCAAGCAGCCATTCTCTGTGACCGAGCGGGTCACATATCCCTTCCCTTTCTCCTCATTATCAGGCCCTGAAGGTCCCGTGAACCAAACAGACTAACCAAACAGATTTCTTCTTCCCCTCCCGACCGGCCTCAAGGCTCCTGGGCCCCAGGCCGATTACTCCCTGCCTTGCCGGCCTTGAAGGTCCCAGGCACGCGGCCAGCCAAGTGCTGTTGATGACCCTGAGGCAAGCGTAACTGTGCACAGAGCACTGTCTGTAAAATCAAGTGGTTACAAGTCCCAAGTGGGGAACTTGGACCCCAACTGCTGCTCGACCGCGAGACCTGTGACCCCCCGGGGACCAGGGACACCTCCGCTGTTGTCTGCTTCCTCCCGGGATTGAGGGAGTGGCTTGAATTCTTTTGTACGGTTTTCAAGCCTGGATTATGATTGTTGTGTTGATACGGCAAATCATGTATTAAGATTGGACCCAACCTGAAGAGGGTCGAGGGGATCAGAAACTGTAAGTTAAGTCGTATTATGAATTCTGTATGACACTACTTGTAAGTTGTACTACATTGATTCTGCCTGCAGAAGTCCTGTGCCGTTCTAATCATAAATTCTGTGCTATACTAATCATAATATCCCGTTGAGAAAACAGAGTTTTAATTGTGACTACAGGTTAGTGCCATCATCATTCTGGCCAGGATCCCTAAAAGAACCTCTCTGTCCCCTTCGCATCGGGTGACAGAATAGGAGAAGGAAAATGAGATTGAAGAACCAGAACAAGGAAGCTTGTGCACTGCTAACATTCACATTAACTGAAATGGGATATTTAAATTCCAAAATGAGAGTGCTGCTTATACAGCTCTTTAGACACAGATGTGAGATTTGTAAGAAGTGCCAGCTTTTCAGGATCATGCCCAATTGTGCCTTCTGAGACAGTACAGTTTGTGCCTTTGAGTCTTTTGACATTTTTAACCGAAGATAACGTATTAGCTTGCTCACCATGGAAAGTTGTCTTGTACCACAGTGCAAATACTGAGGACTGCCAAAGCTGTAGTCATACTGTCTGCAACCAGAATAACTTAACAGTGGCAATACTAACTGATGCTCTCCAACCTTTGGTAAAAACCTCTCATACCTTACGGGGTAAACATGACTAACGAAGAGTCCAAGACTAGAACACATCCTTATCAGTGATCTGTGAGATATCCTGACTAAGTAGAATATTTAAAACTGATGAACAAACTTAGGATATTTTTACCTAGAAACATAAAGTTACTTACTTTCTTTTTTATCTTCCACAGCAACTTTTCCTGTCCTTTTTTGAAAAAGGGATGTTGGTGCTTGCCAGAACCATATTGTTCTTGCTTCGCAAAGCCCAACTCATATTGTGTAGCTTTATGAAAGTCATTTAAAAATGAAAAACAAAGACGAAGTTTGAGTTAAGTGACATCTCTGTGTCCAAATAAGAAGGCAAAACAAAACAGTTAAGACTTGCATTAGCAAGGACAACAGTATGTTCAGCTGCCAGAACTGGACATGGATGTGACCAAAGTTCTTATGACCTTCTGTGAAAAAAACAGACAGACTCAAGTTTTTCCCCAAAATGGGACTGGGAGGTAGGGATAGAGGGGGAAGGAGAGAAAGAAATCTTCTGCCTTCATAATTTGAAGGTCCTTTACAAATACTCTAAAGTTTAAATGATAATTAAGGTTTCCAAGTTTGGACAAAGCCCCAGCGTGAAAAACCCAAACACCTCCCATCCACCTCCCAACTAACAAAAACACGCCTCTGTAAAACCTTTGGGCTATATTCTCAGCTTCCCTAAGTAGATACTGCCCAGATGCTCAGTTCAAGTAAACTGCACTATGCATACGCAGATACTCCCTGAGAAACTACTATAAACACAAAGTCTCTAATACATAAAAGTTCTTCAGTGTAAGACTAAATAACTCAATTCTTAGAAAAGAACAACTCCCCTACACACCCTTCCTCCAGCCAAGAAAAAACAAACAACAAACTTGCAACTGAGGAACTGAAAAGGACAGCAGTTCATGGCAAAAAAAACTTAACAGAATATTATCTGGGGACAGAAAACAGTAAGAGGAGAAAGTTAAAGAAATTAAAAGAGGAATCGATGACAACTGTATTCTGCAAAAATCAGAAGAGCTTATATTGGGTAACGTAAACATACACACACGTTCTTCTTCCTCCCCCAAAATCTTATTTTTCAGTAAGTACAAAATTTTTTTCAGTTTATCTTAAAGTTTTTATAGCTGTTTCTGATGGCTGCCACTGAAGTACCAAGCATAACGATGATTTTTTTTCTTCCTGTTAAGCTAAGATGAATGTAAGAATTAAGGACAGGAGTAGCTGAGTGCAAAAACACACAGCTAAAGACTAAAACTTTGTTGCTGTCTTAGGATAACTAAAAATATTTATGAAACTTGTCATAATATTTGGAACAGGTTTTTTCACTAGGATGTGACAGACTGATTACTCAGACAATTTGTGCAAAAAGAAAACAGAACGACAGCAGGTTCTTGGAACTTATCTATTAAAAAGTTAGTGAAACAGTTTTGCTGAGTTGACTTACAGCTTACATATTTATGAGATGCTTCTAAATTCCACTCTAACCAACAAAGAAAAACTAGCTAGGAAGACTAAAGTGGAAGGGAACTCTGATGAATGATCATAAAATGATGAAGTTACAATCTTTCAAAAGGGGAACACCAGGATAAAAATAAATTCAGAGAATTGATAAGACAGATCTCATCAGATGCACAGTGACCTATAATGCGTTAATAAATTAGACAGTAGACATGGTGTACCATAAGTTAGGAAACACTACATTTTCCTGCAGAAAAATAAGAGGAACAATCATCTGACTGACAGGTTCACAACTCAAACCTTAAGACCAAAGCAAGTACTTCTCAAACCAAGGGTATGTATGCTTTAAGTACTGGGCTTTGAAGCTAAAAAGATTAATCCTGCCTTTGCTTCTAACCACCCCCCCGCGGCTGTGGTCTGAGATACTATATCGGACAAGACAGTCAAGCAGATATAATACAACTACAGCAAATCTGATAGAAATGCAACTAAGGCAACCCAATGTATTTTTAGGGCTATGGGGACAGACTTTTACAAATTCCAAAATCCCAGATTTCAGCATGCATGAGCTTGATCTTTACACAGGGAAAAAAACCCCAAACCAACTCAGAGGAACAGAGAGAAGCAGAGGAGGTAGCTAGGTAAAGGCTAACATATATGGAAGGCAGGGTAGAGAAAACAGATTTTTAGTAACTCTTCATTAATAGAAATTATTTGAAATACCAAAGTAATATAAAATTTTAAATAATGCTAAGCAATTTACAAAATTGAGCTAAATTATGTATTTTCATTCTTGCTCTGCCCTTGTCAGAAAGCTTAGCACAGCTTTCCAAACAACATGTTGCTCTTCCTGCCTGTGGAATTGCTGAGCTAGTATTACAAATACCCAGAATGGCACACCGCTAATCCAACAATTTAAGCCTTTATTTGAGATCTGTTTTAACAAACATACTCTGTTTTCAGTCTTTTGAGTCACAAGAACAGGTTTAGGCTTGTACATTGTAGTTTCTTAAAAAAAAAAAAGAAGTATCAATCACCATTCAATCCAATAGTCATTCCCATGAAACATTTCTCTTGGGGCAGGTCATATTTCTTAAAAGACAAAAGCAAACTAATTCTCGCCTTTTCAATGTGCATGTTAAATTACTAGGCTGTGCTTTCAGTCTTCTTGACACTATACTCCAATTCTAGATGATCACTTCTACTTTGATTTAGTGCTCCAATTGAGAATGATGGTGTGGAAGCACTGAGTGCTTTGGCTACGTTCCTTCCCATGCAAGGGAGGCGGACAATAAATCCTGGGGCATCCTGGGAGTCAGACTGTTCTAGAACTGTTATGTACAGAAAGTGGAAGAAGTGCACAAAACTGAAGATCTGTTTTTTAAACTTAATCAGTAATGCAACCAAGAGTCATGATGCACGTACTTCAAGAACAAATCAAGTCAGTAAGCATATCAGTTAAGGCTTTTTTAGGAACTTCAGTATAAATTTACCATGATTTTGTAATTCAGCTCAATCATTTCAAATCTTCACAGAGATACTTACTACCATCATTAACCTTTTTTATTGTATTGTCTTTTTAAGCATATTCTCACAGCAGACTATTTGACTCAAAAAGTCAAAGAGTGATAACTGACCTGGATCAGCTCCCTAAGCAGCTTCCCTGCGCAGCTGGCAGACCCTGGAAGGCAGTGCAGGGTCAGGAAAATGTACATCAAGTCACTTCACTTGCAACTCACCTGTCTGCTTATCAGCTCATTAACAGCACCTGGCTGCAGGTCAGAGCGCTCTCAGGGGCTACTTCTGTCACTAAGAGGAGCCAAGCAGGTTCTTGAGAGGTCCAAGAGATGAAGCTTTAACTGATCCTGTCGTCACAAATAGGCAACTTCTCCATCTCTCTTTAAAGAAAGGATTCACATTTATCCAGCGGATCTGTTACAGATCATAACGTTCTATACTTGTCATATTAGCTGCATATTTACATGCTGCACTGAAACTACCACAACACCACATCAGACAAGAACTTGTAAACACCACTAACTTGTACCAGGCATCTTACTTAAAAGATGCACTGAGGGGCCCAAATACATTTCATTTCCAGAATAAGCCATAAAATTAACATTTTAAAAGCTGAAAAGCTTTTACTGACTCAGGATTTCACAACTCTAGCATTTTAGTAATGAATGACAAATTCTTTTCCACAGCTCTTTCAGAACTGAAATTCCTTATTTCACTTATTTTAATGGAAAACTGTTAATATTATTTAAACCTACACATTACTTCTGCCACCACATGGTATGGTTTCTGGAATCAGAGTAACTGGCAGCATTCTATGAAATACCTGTTCGTCAGAGAAGCCTTCATCAGCAGTGCACAACTAAATAGCCTCTTAAAAATGGGAAAAAAAAAAAAAAAAAAGAATCTAAATACTTTTGACTATTCCCCTCCAGCACACAGAAGTCTGTAAAGACAAAGAAGATTGGCCCTTATTTTTTAACTATCATCCAATCAGAAACAGCCAGCCCGACTTTTGAGTTCAAAGTGACAATTCTGAAAGTTACTGAATCAAATAAACCCCACACAATCTAGCCATATATACAGAGATACACTCCTGTCATGGTTTAAGCCCAGCCAGCAACAAAGCACTACGAAGCTGCTCGCTCACTCCTCAGGAGCAGGACTCTTCACACTCTTCCCCTGCTCTAGCATGGGATCCCTCCAACAGGAGACAGTCCTCCACGAACTTCTCCAACTTGGATCCTTCCCACAAGCTGCAGTTCTTCATGAACTGCTCCAGCATGTGTCCCTTCCCCAGGCTGCAGTCCTTCAGGCACAGCCTGCTCCAGCGTGGGTCCCCCACAGGGTCACAAGTCCTGCCAGAAAACCTGCTCCAGCGTGGGCTCCTCTCTCCACAGATCCACAGGTCCTGCCAGGAGCCTGCTCCGGCGTGGGGTCCTCCCCGGGCTGCAGGTGGAGATCTGCTCCACCATGGACCTCCATGGGCTGCAGGGGGACAGCCTGCCTCACCATGGTCTTCCCCACAGGCTGCAGGGGAATCTCTGCTCCAGTGCCTGGAGCACCTCTGTGGCAGTGTACTGCCCTCCAAACCTGATCTGTATTTCCCATAACCCTGCTCAATCAATAACCACCAGCAGCTCTCATAACAGATGTGTCTGGTCATGCTGGCTGCATCCGGCTCAAAGTGGATTTGGGGGAGACAGATAACAATACAATAGCCAAGGGCTAATTTGAACAATACGCCCACCTAACCACAGTGCTGGTCAGTGTGCAACTCAAGTTGAGTTTGGAAGAAACTAACACCTGTAGTCAGTATGTAAATATAAATCAGTTGTCTTACTCGGTAATTAGTGGACAGCCCAGGGCCCCTTGACCTCTCCTGCATGGCAGGGGGCTGCACACACCAGGATGCCTCCTTGAGTAGGGATGCCTCTCAAGGTTACTCCTCGAGGTTGAGAGATTCCTTGCTGCAACAGGTTCTCAGTGATTAGTAGCATGCTGAACTTTGAAATCTTAGCTAAGTGATATAAAGGATTGATTGTGCACATATAATCTTTTAGACATAAACCGTTGACCAAGTCTGGGACTAAGTCAGGATCCAGCCGCATCTAAACTGCTCTCTGAGAAGGAGTTTAGAATGCAAGGGGGTCCTTTCTGAACCTCATGACTCAACAGGAAGGTCTCCCTGACAGTTTTGTCTGACCCTGTCCTCTATGCAGTAACAAGTGAACCCTGCCATCAAATCTTGTTAAAGCACTGTTGCATTTACTATCAAACTTTGCTAAATCGCTGCTTTGTATCAATAAACATATTGTTACTTCTCTCTTATGAGTGAAGTGTGTCACTCCATCCATGACAACCTCCTCCCCTCCTTCTTCACTGACCTGGGTGTCTGCAGAGTTGTTTCTCTCACATATTCTCACTCCTCTCTCCGGATGCAGTTTGTTGCACGGTTTCTCCCCCTCCTTCTTACATCTGTTCTCCCAGAGGTGCTACCACTGTCACTGATGGGCTCGGCCTTGGCCAGCAGCAGGTCCAACTTGGAGCCGGCTGGCATTGGCTCTGTTGGACGTAGGGGAAGTTTCTAGCAGCTTCTCACAGAAGGCACCCCTGTAGCCCCCCTGCTAACAAAACCGTGCCATGCAAACCCAATACAACTCCTCACTCACTCACTCTGTCTCAGAAGACAAATAGGAATCTCTCATACTTCACAGGTATTGTATTTTTTTAAATATACAGAGAAGAATCAAAAGTCTTAAACCTTGATATCTAAAGCACCATAAAAGCTCTCACGAGCAGCTATCAAGTTTCTTGGAGCATGAGCAGCAAGTGCTCTGTGTGAAGTCTGGCTCAGTGAGCCATAAATTCAATACTATCCTAAAATAATAAATGCACAAACCCAATATAATGCATTTAATTAACAAACCAGTGATAAACCACAGTGAGATTATTTACTGATACAGTTGTCACATTCCTGCCAGGCATGGATTAAAAAGTTGTCTTCAGCCATAACTGTCAGTTTATCACTCAACAACCTAAGCATAATGCGAACCCGTAAGTCACAGGCTTCATGTAAATAAAACATGATGGTTATAGTGCTTCCCAAGAGGACCCTCAGCTGAGGCTTTCCATTCTGTACCGCCGTTCAAGTCGTATGTGCTGCAAAAAGAACTTTGCCTCACAAGCATACAAAGCCTCTTCACCGTATCGCAAGTGAGCCAACCCACGCATTGAACAGATCAAAAGGAATCCATGCTTTTCCTGATGAGGCTTCTTACAAGGAGCTCCTCTGCAGGTTCCTACTCTTCCTCTGTCCCCTTTACTTTGCCACAATTCCTCCCCAGCCCCTGGTTTCCCTTATCTATCCACCTGGGTTACAGGCAAGATGTGCTGCACCCGACTTGAAGGCAGTGAGACACTGGAAGCCTGACCAGTGTGCTCCGGATGACCAGCCAACCGACTACTTGCAACAGTTAAGCAGCTGAATTCCTTTCTTGGGTGGTACAAGTAACCTGTGACTTTCTCTTCCTTGAGGGCACTAAATTTTATAAGATTTGGAGGACCCTAGCCTTCTTCAGGTGTCACGGGAGCGAAGACACACACACACACACACACACATTGTATAGACTTCATAAAGGCATAGGACCTTTACAGATCAGCCGTTCCCATGACTGCCAGCAGAACAGATCAGCCACAGAAGCCTTTAATACTGTTGACCCTAGGGAAGTTCCAAAAAAAAAAAAAAAACCCACCCCAAAAAAACCCCAACCAGACTGAGAAAGACACAAATATCTACATTAAAAAAAGTACCAATTGCTGCATATCTTCCCTAGTACTTAAGCCTCCATGTCTGGATTATAGTTGTTTTGTCAAGACACAGCTGAAACCAACCAGCTCCCTAACACCCCCCACCAAATTGCCTCACTTCCATTTTTTTACCTAAAGAAATCACACAAGAATACACAGAGCCCTTTGGCTATTTATGGCATTAGAAAAGAGTATTTAATTTTTTTAAAAAGAATAATCAATGTGGCATTATTACTTAAACCGACACTTCACCTGAAAGTAAGCAGCAGCCTCAGCAGAGGCTGTCTTGTTTCCATGTTAATGAAAGTAATTTATTTCTTTCAATGCTGTTTCAAGAGTGGAATAAAACCGACAAGAAAAGGCAGCATACATCTTTCCCAAGCTGTTTTTGTGAGCCTCAGTCAGAAACACTAGGTCATTGCTAGGGATGCTTTAGCTACTCTCCATGATGCCTTAAAGCGTTCGTTTATTCTGAAACACAGGAACATACAGAATCCATAGCGCTACCTGAGGACAGGTGTTATTAAATACTGCGGTATTCTTGCACAGCCTTCCTTTCAAAAGCGGCTCTTTCTTGATTCAGGACAACACATCCTAAACTACAGCCGATCCTCACAGCAGGCTGGTTAAGGATTAACACCACCCTCCTGCGTACATACCCAAACCACCGTGAAACTCCACCGACTGTTCCAGCCCAGCCAGGCGTCACCACCCGGGACCGCTCTCCTGTCAGCCATCAGCAGTCTAGGCACAAGGCAGAGGAAGGCTTCCTCACCAGCACCGGGGTCCCAGAGAACCAGCGCCGAGCTCCCGCCACGCTGCCCCGCAGCTAAGCAGAAGGCAGCCGCTACCTGACAGCGCTTCGAGCGCCCACCCGCCTGAGGCCCCCCTCTCCCCCCGCACCGCTAAGAGTTATTAAGACCCCACAGGCTGGCAGAAACAGCAGTTTAACTTGGGGCAGAGAGGCCGAAGCCCCAGCTCTCCCCTCACCCAGGAGGCGCCGCCTCGGCCGAGCCCCCCTCACCTCACCTCACGGGGGCGGGAAGAGATGGCGGCACCACCGCGGCACGGCGCGGGGCGGGGGGCGCCGCTCACCGCGGCCGCGGCGCTGAGCCCGCTGGCTTGGGGATCCCCCAGCAGCGCCCACAGCCCGCCGAGGAGCTGGGGCAGGGCTACGCCGCTACCGCCCGCCGCCTCCACGCCGCGCCCCGGCGGCCTCCCGCAGCATCGCCGCCAGGCGGAGCAGCAGGGCAGGGCGCCGACAGCTCGACGGAAAGGAGCGGGAGGAGGCGGACATCTTGGTCCGGGGCGGAAGTCCGGTGACACCGGCCTCCTCGCTCATTCCCGGCAGAGGGCAGGCATTGCCCTTAACCAAGATGGCGGAAAGCCCGTGGCGGGGGGAGCACCTCCACCGCTCCTCAGTGCCCGGGCGGGCGTTCCCGCCTCGCCGCCTGCTCGCAGGCGCATGTAGGTGCTGGGGTTTCCTTAGTTTCCCATTGAAAGAAGCCTTTACTGTGCCCTCTCCCAGCTG